TTTCTTTGTTTCCAACTTTCACATTCCAATCACCAGTAATTATCAATGTATGTTGATTGCATGTTTGATCTATTTCTTACTGAGGAAGTTGGTAAAAACTTCAATTTCTTCATCTTTGGCATTAATGGCTGGTGAGTAAATTTGAATAATAGTCCTATTAACTGGTCTTTTTTGTACACATATGCATGTTACCCTATCACTGAAAGTGTTATACTTCAGGATAGATCTTGAAATGCTCTTTTTGACAATGAATGCAATGCCATTCCTCTTCAAATTGTCATTCCTGGCATAGTAGACCATATGATTTTCTGATTCACAATGGCCAATACCAGTCCATTTGATCTCACTAATGCCTAGGATATCGATCTTTATGTATTCCATTTCATTATTGACAACTTCCAATTATCCTAGACTCATACTTTGTACATTCCACATTCGGATTATTAATGAATGTTCGCAGCTATTTCTTCTCTTTATGAGTCATGCTACATCAGCAAATGCGGGTCCTGAAAGCTTTAGCCCATCTATGTCACTAAGGTAGACTCTACTTTGAGGAGGCAGCTCTTCCCCGTAGTTTTAGTGACTTCCAACCTGAGGGGCTTGTCTTCTGGCACTATATCAGACAATGTTTTGCTGCTATTCATAAGGTTTTCACTGGCCATTTTTTAAAGAAGTAGATTGCTAGGTCCCTCTTCCTGGTTTGTCTTAGTCTGGAAGCTCCGTTGAAACCTGTCTACCATGGGTGACCCTGCTGGCATTTGAATACCAGTGGCATAGCTTCCAGCATCACAGCAACACACAAGCCACCACAGTACGACAAACTGACAGATGAGTGGTGGCATTACATATGAGGAAGTTTAATTCCTTAACATTTAGTTTCTGCCCTAGCTTTTTTGCAGCAACAACAAACAAAAAGCCCACCACTACAGTGCCATGGCCAGCTGAAGAAGTGTTCTGATCTGAAGCCCAGCAAATAGTTTATTTATCTACTCCCTTGTCGATTGCTGGTAATTGGGGAAGTAGTTGAACCACATGCTTGGGCTTACCAGAATCATTAGCCAGAATTCATTTTAAGTGGCTGTCTTTTAGTTCTTGTTATAAAGCCAATGTGTGGCTTACATAATTTGCTGCCTAGGCATCCATCTTAGTTCCTCTTTTTAGCTCCTCTTGTGTCTTTGTAAGGTGCGCTGGTGGCACCATGGTTAAGCTGCTCACCTGCCTCCTAAGGGTTGGCGATTCAAACCCACCAGCCGCTCCCCGGGAGAAAGATGTGGCAGTCTGCTTCTGTATAGATTACAGCCCTGGAAACTCTATGGGGAAATTCTACTCTGTTCCATAGAGTCGGTATGAGTTGGAATGGACTCAATGGCAATGAGTTTTTTTTTTTATCCCTGTCCCTATCCCATGCAGATAAGTCACCCACTCAGTCACTCCTGCCCACACTGCTTGCTTAGATAACATGTTCTTCATCTTATGCCCCTGAAACCCCTAAGCCCCCAGAAATTCATGTCAACATGCTGAACCAACCAATCCCACCTCCTCACAGGAAATGTACCAAGCAACACCATATAACCTAATAAAGGCTGAAGTCTCTGGGTTACTCCCCAGCTTGTTCCCCACCTGCTGGTTGAGCTAGGCCCTCCATGCAGCCGTCCCTTCAGCCATCGTTGGCACCCCTCTCTACTCATGGACCTTTGAGTAATAAATCATTGTGCACTATTCGTGTACTTTGTCAGTCTCCTGTGTCTATCCTGATCTACACACCTGTGTCCAAACCTTTAATTTACTAAAGAGCCTTGGTCATATATGCAAATAACATTAACATAGTAAGCTTGAGTCAGACACTTAAAAACCCTCAGAGCATCCAGCGTTATAAAAAAAGTATTTTCATGAGAGGATAAACTGGTCATTGGTCAAGCACAGATGACCTCAGGTGGCTTGCCACTGTAAAACAAGACCCCAAAACCCTTCAAAATCCCTGCAGGATATAAGACGTATATTGACTAAAGACTCCTAATCTAGTAATCAAATTCAAAACAGCTCTCTTTTAACTGTATAATTTACCTTCACTAAAAGTAAAAACTGAAAGTGAGCTGAAGCCAATGAGAAGAGGATGGATCTGCCCGAATGTCATCTCACCAGAAAGGAGCAAACCAGCTTGATTTTCTCTTCTTCTTGGCTGCCCTTTGGAAGGTTGGATGCAGCCCACGAGGACCATGTAGCAAAGACAGAAAGAAGAGTGCTTGATGAGCCCCGTACCTGAGACCTTACCTTTGGCTGATTTGTATGGTTCCAAAACAATTATCTGTTGGAGTGGAAGGCTCTTGAATATGCTCTATCGGATAGCTTTTACTCAGCTTTCATTGGCCTGTGTTTAAAACCTATAAACCAAACTTCTTTATTTTTTGGTAAAAATATACCCAACAAAACATATACCAGTTCAACAATTTGCACATGTACAATTCAGTGACATTGATTACATTCTTCAAGTTGTGAACCATTCTTATACTCCTTTTTTGAATTGTTCCTCCCCCATTAACATAAACTCACTGCCCCTTAGGGTCTCATCTAAACTTTTGAGTTGCTGTTGTTAAGCAGTAAAGATAATACTTTACTACTTAAGCTAAACTATTGTTTGGTTTACATATGACTTCATGGGATTGTTTTAAGATTTAAAGATTACTTCAGGGCCATAGTAGGGAGGGGGGTTCATCCAGCCTCCATGGCTCCAGAAAGTCTGGATTCCATGAAAATTTGAAATTCTGGTCCACATCACACACACCCCCACCCCCCAGATCAGGATGTTTCTACAGAATTTTTGATCAAAACCTTCACGAATGGTAGCCGGGCACTATCCAGCTCTTCTGGTCTCATTGAAAAGGATGCAGTTGTTTAGGGAGGCAATTAGATACACATTCCAGTATTTCTTCCAGTTCTTCGCTCTGCTTCTTCCTCTGCTACTCAAGACTAATACTTGTTGCCATCAAGTCGATCCCGATTCACAGGGACCCTATAAGACAGAGTAGAACTCCCCATAGGGTTTCCAAGGAGGAAACCCTATGGATTCAAACTGCCAGCTTTTTGGTTACCAGGCAGAGTCTTAACCACTACACCACCAGGGCGCAGCTCAAGGCTAATAGAGACCAATAATTGTACCTTGGATGGTTGCTTGCAAGCTTTTTAGACCCCAGACAGTACACAATGAACTAGGAGGTAGAACATAAACACTAAAAATATTAGGCCAATTGACTGAGATGTCCCAAAAAACCATGACCCTAAACCTTCAAACCAAGAAAACAAATCCCATGAGGTGTTTGGTTGTACATTAGTGGCATTAGTATCTGCTCTTTTGCTTGCCTGGAATCCCACTTGGTCATGGTGTCTGACTCTGTAAATATGCTGTTGGATTCTGTTCGCTAGTATTTTGTTGGGAAGTTTTGCATCCATATTCATAAGGGATGTTAGTCTAAAGTTTCTGTTGTGGATTTATCAGGCTTTGGTATTAGGGTAGTGCTGGCTTCCTGAAGAGTTAAGGAGTATTCCTTCCTCCTCTACACTTTTGAAGAGTTTGAACAGGATTGGTGGTGTTGTAGTGGAATAAATACGAGTCTGTTTAAATTTAAAAACAAAAAGTTTTATTATGGCAAAAAAGCATCTTGCAAAATGGGAATACACAGTGTAAGAATAATCTGAACAAAGTGCTTCAGGGGGCTGCAGTGATACAGAAGCTTATGAAGAAAAAAATCACAAACAGAAAGGTACAGTTAAAACATTTTTGATTGGTTAACATTTACAGAGCTTAGAAGGGATGTCAGAACAAGGTTATGGAAAAGTACTGGGCTTTGTAAGGACTCGCGCACAGGTTAGAAAAACATTTTTTGATGCAGAATGAAGGGGACATATTCTGAGAATTGGCCGACAACCAAAGTCACATTTCCTGGCATCTAGACAACTTTCGAGCAGTTTCAGGGGTCAGCAAAGCTGAAACGGTTTCTGAGAAACGGTCAAGGGAACAATAATGGAGCTAGATCTGCATTATACTGGTGGACTCTGGGTAAAATATGAAAGCAAAGAGTTTGTTAAAAGAATAAAAGGATCACAAGTGAAAATGCTACGTATTCTTATGCTCAAGGGGAGATAAAGGGTTTTGATACAGAAAAGCCAGGAAAGCTATAAGCATGTCTCTATTTAACATTAGTTTATTCTAACCTAAGTACATCTCTCTGAAGCTTAACCACAAGTTGTTCTCTTTAACACTTATTTGAGCAAGCTAAGCAAAACCGCATCTTTCTATAGAACTGCTCATGTCTAAGTCAAAGGTGCAGTAGAATTTTGGAAGTGATAGGCTTCATTGTATGACAGAAACTATATTTAAAATTCCAAAATGGAGTTTTGTAGGAAAACAAGGGATTTGGCCTAAACTTTATCCAGAAGTTTCAGTCATATCAAGAGCCTAGCTTTGGAATGCTCTTTGTCAGTATCAACTCTTCTCTAAGTGTTTGGCAGAATTCCCGTGATGCCATCTGGTCCAGGATTTTGGTTGTTGTTGTGGAAAGGTTTTTGATTACTGATTCAATCTCTTCACTTTTTATGGTTCTGTTGAGATTTTCTGCTTCCTCTTGAGTCAGTTTAGGTAGGTTGTATGTGTCTAAGAATCTGTCCATTTTATCTAAGTTACCAAGTTTGTTGGTGTACATGTGTTTAAAGTACTGTTATGGTTCTTTTTATTTCTGTTGGGTCAGTTGTAATGTCTCTAGTTTCATTTATTTTGATTATTTGCATCTTTTCTCCTTTTTTGTCAGTCTAGCTAAAAGTTTGTCAATTTTATTGATCTTTTCAAAGAATCAACTTCTGGTTTTATTGATTACCTCTATTATTTTTCTATTTCATTTATTTCTGCTCTGATCTTTTTATTTCCTTTTTTCTGGTAGCTTTAGGCTTAGTTTGCTCTTCTTTTTCTAATTCCTCAAGTTGTAGAGTTAGACTATTGATTTGTGGTCTTTTTTTTTTTTTTTTAAATATAGGTTATTTACTGCTATGAATTTCCATGAGGACTGCCTTCATTTTGGTATGTTGTGTTTTCATTCTCATTCAACTCCAGGTTTTTTTTTTTTCTAATTTCTGATTTCTTCCTTGACCCCTGGGTTAATTTCCACATATTTGTCTCTTTTCCTTCTTTACTAATTTCTAGTATTATTCCTTTGTGGTTGGAGAAGATAATTTGCATAATCATAATCTTTTTAAACTTATTGAGAGTTGTTTTGTGACCCAGTATATCATCTATCCTGGAGAATGACCTGTGTGCCTGAGAGAAAAATGTGTATTTAAAAAAATGTTTTAGTTCATCTTTTTGGAGGAACTTTTATGTGTATGCCAAGGATAGTGTTAGGCACTGGGATACAAAAATGAATTAACAGTCTCACCATTTAGGAACTTACAATCTAGTAGGTGAGAAAGACAAGTAGAGAGTTATAACCCATGTGCTATAATACAGGAATGAACAAGATGCAGTGGTAGCACATAGAAGGTTTCAGAAATGCAAGCACAGAGGTGGACATTGAAGCTATAGATCCCACATTCTGATGTGCTTGGTGTAGCAAAATCCCAGGGCCTATATGCCTGATTTCTACACATCCTAATGATAAGTTATAACTAAAATTTAGGTGAAGAATGAATTTTATTATAGCAACTTGGAACCACTTTTTGTCTGGCCCATCTGGTGAGACCCATTTTTGGTTCAGAGGGATGGAGGCAGAGGTCATACAGCAGACAAGCTCAAGCAGTAGCATATGACCAAGGCATTCAGTATTGGCACTGGTCTTCATTTGCATAGTGACTATTTTTTGAAAATAAGTTGAGCATCTGATTCACCCAATTAGGAGCACCTATGAATAATCTTCTTTGGAGATTCAGTGGCATCAGCAGCATCAGGTAATTCAGCATCTTTAATGCTTGTGATTGTAGCAGGAGGGGTATTGGGCTCCCAGGATTTTATGGGGGGCCCACAGCTTAATGAAAATATCTATTAAAGTTATACCTCAACTTCTGTTGTTTTATTGTTTTAGTTTCAGTAAATCCTAAAACAGGAAATGTCAATCCACATAATCTGGTACAGAAAGAATGAGTCAAACGCTGAGAGTAGGACCTGATCCCTTGTTATTCAATAGGTAGGAATTAAGAAAGGAGACTAATCTTTTGAATAGTACTATGGGCCCTTGAATAGGCTTATAAGTAAGTAGTTATGATACAATATGGATCTCCCATAATAGTACTGGATTTAAGAATACCACCACATTTTTAATATTAACCCTACATCTCTGCCATATTTGTTGATTTACTTTACGAGCACTCCATCCATTCCATGGGTTCATTCTGATGATCTTGAGGTGATGACTCTTGCTTCTCATTTTTTTCCTCATTGTGGTTCTCATTTTTCTCCTCATTTAAAAACTTATAAAAGCTCTCACTTTTTTGTTGAATGTCACAAATAATAGACTCCAGAGAATAACCATATTCAATAAGGGCATAAGTCTTATGCACGGGTTTATAAAAATGCCCAAAGGCATGCATAGCAACCAACTTGCCAGATGCAGTAAACACTGGGGAGCCAGAGGACCCACTGGAGAAACAAGTGTCATAACTAAGCGTGTTAGTGCTCCAAACCTCTGACTGGAAACTTCTTTTGGTAAACATAGGGCAAGCATTATTAGTGGCAACATAGGTTTCTACCAGCCCATCTTGATACTCTGGATACTTCCCAAGCCGTTGACTTAAAGGAATCACTGCACAATCATCTATTTTCTTGATCTGGCCTTCCGGGTGACCAATTAAATAAATCAAACCACTAGATGGTTGAGGGGAAATTTGTCCATATAGGCCCGGAGGAAATGCATTTCCATTTTCTTTTAGTTTTAAAATGACATAATCTAGATTTCCATCATACACTTCAAGCAATGGTTCAAAAAAAAACCAACTGGAGTAAGTAGGGCAAAAGTTTTCGTAAGTGAAAGTTACCTTTGCACACTTACTAACTATATCTGGCCACAAAGTTGAATGTGTGCCTTCTCCCACAATAAGATGTACGACATGTAGACAGGTCAAAACATAACCACCCTTCAAGTGAAAGCCAGTACCATTGCCGGTGTTTCCATTATTGTCCCACGTTATGAACCCAACTGACTTACTAAGAGGAATAAGACGTTCATAGGTTGCAACTGAATTAGAATTTGCAGTCTCTTTTCCGAAGTTCTTTTTATATACTTTGAATTGTTCAAATGGTGTCACTTTTCTCCTCTTCTGTTCTTCCCTAAAACACTTTCCCAACAAAAGTGGAACTTTATTAAAATTTGGATACTGTTGCATTATAGTGTTGTCCAATTTTTGGAAGTTTTTTAGCCAGAGATAAGTTGCATCCTCCTGGATATCCTGATTAATAGTGTGCTGCCTATGCAGATAGGGTCTTCGCTTAACTCGTGAGTTTAGTTTCCTATATTTTTTGTAAAAACGGTATTTGTAATGATGACTAATAATGGACTTTGTCCGGCGATTTTTCCCTTTAATATCATGCCTTAGACTTTGGGATTGAAAATTTCTGTTATGTTCTACATCTTCAGTCTCTCTATCTCTCTCTGAGTCCTGGACCTCCTTCTTAGATGGTATCAGACCACAGGGACTGATTTTATGAGTGACATTTTCATTCTTACATTCAGGATTTTTAGGAGTTTTGACCTTGACAGATTTTTGTCTATAAATCTGTATTTCTAAGACTTTTCCAGATACTTCATCCACCAGGGACTCTTCTTCATGAATGTTCTGATGACCTTCCATTAGTTTCCACTGAAGTTTATCGAGGTCAGAACGAAACCTGCCGTCCTTACATAGAGCTTCTTTGATAGTCTCACCCTTTAAGGCATAGATACAAAGTGTACTTCCTTTTACATGAAGTTCCTTGACCTTAACAATCTTCTTTATAGTCTTCCCAACAGCAACAATGTGAAAAAGAATGCATTCAATGTTTGGGTTTTCACAATGACGTAATATCTGACCGTTTTCTTCCTGTCCGTACTTACTTTGAACAAATGTTACTTTAAGCTGACAATCTCTAGGCAGGCACTTGAGAGGCATTCCTAAATTTATATATCCATGTTTTTCTTCATAAACAATAATGTTCTTATTGGAATGAGTCTCCATCCTTTTGCTGAAACTGTCATTAGCTCTCAGAGCTGAGAAGATACTCTCATTGGGTTCACCATATGCCGTAAACACACTATGGTCTAATTTCCTGGAGCTTTCATTCAAACTAAAGGTGAAACGACATTCTTTCTTGGTACTGAACTTTAAGTTTGGAATTTTAAGAGCTGTTTCACGCTTACTGATGTCATTTCTAAGCTCAGAGGTACTGCTACATTCTGTTACATCAGGTAGAGAATGACCATCAGGGGTGCCAGAACTTGTCCACTTCATGACAGCATCCTTAAAAAGGGAAAGATTAAGAATTTAATCAGAAGCATCTTTAATAACAATCACTTCTAATAAGGTTTTCATGTATTAAAAACTATAAAAGTAATAGATCTTCTGAATAAAAATTGGATAAAAATAGATAACGAAGGATGAAAAAAATCAATAATTATCCCATCACCAGAGATAATGACTCTACATTTTGTTTTATTTGGTTCTATTATTTTACATGCAGATATAAATTTTGTTTTTTTAAATGATACTATGCTGTATATGAGTTGGTTTTTCAGTTTTCAATCTGTCAGTGCTTTCACAAGTCATTAACAACCTTTGAAAACACAATTTGAGGAACCATATAATATTCCACTATACAATAATTTTTAATTCATTCTTCTATTATTGGATAGTTAGATTGTTTCCAATTTTTTGCTATTTAAATACAGTGTCAAATATTCTTATACATATAAATTTTTTGTTTGCATATCTGAATATTTCCCTAAGCCAGATTCCCAGAAGTGAAAATACTGAGTACTAAGGAATAATATGAACATATCTCACAACATATACACTGTCAAACTGCTTTCCTGCTGTCCAAGGAGACCAACCGTTATTATTGACTGCTCAAAAGAATCTCAATATTGTTATTTTAATTGTTTGTCAGTTGATAGCTGAAATGTCATCTCATTTAACCGCTTTTTAAGTTTCATCCATTTGCTTACCAGTGAAGTTGGACTGACTTAATACATCTTATGAACATTTGAAGCATCACATTTAAAAAATTCTCCTTAAACATGTTTACTTCCTATTCTGTACATTGTTTCAACAGCACTAAAGAAATACTAAAAAGACTAATAAATCACAAGATTGGATCTCCTGTGTGTATACACATATGCATATGCATATATCAGATCAGAGGCCTGGTAATAGCTCAGAAACAAGACGTTGAGAATGTAAATTAATCTGATGGCAGCAGGAATGAAACACAAGGACAGAAGTGAAAAAACATTATGCCAAAAAAGTCTAAAGGACATGGATGGGAATCGATGAGGAATCTGAAATCTCAGAATAAGGCTGGAGAGAGAAAATTAGAAGGGAAAGCTTGGCTTGGCTTATGAAGCAGTTGCGCTGGAATGAGCTTAGGTTTTAGACATAGTGAGTCTCTTCTTTCCTTTTTCTCTCTTATTGCCTCATGTTTTCAACTGTTTTACGCAAGTCTGTACCTGCAGCACTGACTTGCCTTCTGAGCTCCTGATATATCCTGCTTTACATCTACTCTTGGGTACTTCAGAGGCATTTCACCCTCAACACTTTCAAAATCAAAGTCATAAAACTTACTCTTCAACATGCCCCCCTTCCTGTGTTCCCTGACCCTGATAATGGTGTCATCGCCCACCCAGCCACCCAAGCTAGCACCCTGCAAGTCATTTTGAGCTTCTTCCTCTACCTTATCTCTTATATATCATGCATTTTTTAAAAAAATTATGAAACATATTATATATATGCATATGACATATACTCAAGCCAAAACTCACTGCTGTAGAGTCTATTTTGACTCATAGTAACCCTACAGGACAGAACAGATCTGCCTCATAGGATTTCCAAGGCTGTAAATCTTTACGGAAGCAGATTGCCACATCTTTCTCCCATGAAGTGGCTGGTGGGTTCGAACCACTAACCTTTTTGGTTAGCAGCCAAGCTTTAACCACTGCGCCACCAGGGCTCCCTATATGACTCTATTTTAAATAATAATAATAACTACATATCTATGTATTAGTGTTACGGAATGACTGCTCTTAGTTGTGCTGCATATTACAATACATTGGAAGCCTCCAGTGTGCCCTGCCCTCATCTTATTCCTCTTTCTCATTCTCACAGACAACCACTAATTCTGAATTTATTTTAAAACGATTACTCCTTTGTATTTCTTTAGGTACATATATATAATTAGTAAAATTATCAGTAGCATACTGTTTGGTTTTGCCTGTTTTGATTTTATATAAATGGCATTCTATGAAAAGTGTTCTGTGACTTGCTTCACTACTTATCTGACGTTCATGGTTGATGTCATATATTCACTTTCACGATTAAATAGAACCCAGTGTAGGTATTAACTGGTTTTTGCACATTTCAGTTGTTTCTGGTTTTCCTCTACTATAACAGTGGTACAGTTCTGCCATGAATATCCTCGTACATGTTTCCTGGTGCCCATGTGCTAAAGGGTCTCTCAGGTATAGACTTGGGGGTAGAACTGCTCAGCGTTAGGGGATATGCATACTCATGTTTATTAGATACTGCCAAATTATTTTACAAAATGGTTTCATCAATCTGCACTCCTTCCAGCAGGAAATGAGAGTTCTCATTATTCCACATCCTCATTAAAATTTGGTACTGTCCAGCTTTTAGTGTTTGCCGATTTTGTTGCCTGGAACGGCATCTTGCTGGTGGTGTAAACAGTAATTTCCTAATTCCTAATGGGGTATAACCCTTTTTCATACTTATGCCTACAAAATACCTGTTCCTGTCTTTTTTCCATATTTTATTGGATTGTTTTTCTTTTTATGATTGATTCTAGAAGTACTTTACATATTCTAGACACAAATTATTTACTCATCATTTGTGTTAAACATGTTCTCTGAGTTTGTGGCTTGTTTTCCACTCTCATTAGGTGTCATTCAAGAAAAGAATTTCTTAATTTTATTATTATCAAATTTATTAATCTTTTTATAAGAATACTATGCATAGAGTAAACATATTCTCTTTTTTTAAATGTAACAATTTGCTTTTCCCATTCAAGTCTTTAAGCCATATGGAATTATTTTTTGTACGTGGCCTGAGGCAGGTATCACTTTTTTAATTTACTCTTCCCACATGGATAACTAATTGTCCCAGCACTACTAATCGAAGTATTCATCCTTTCTCCATGGATCTATATTGCCAGCTTTGCCATATAAGATATTTTTGTGGGTCTGTCTCTATTCTCACTATTTGGTTCCAATGGTATATTTTTCTATATGCCTGCCAAATCCTGTCTTAAATTAGTTGTTGTTATTGTTAGCTGCCATTGAGTCGATTCCAACTCATAGCAACCCAGTGTGTACAGAGTAGAACTGCTCCACAGGGTTTTAATGGCTATGACTTTTCTGGAGCAGATCACCAGGCCTGTCTTCTGAGGCACCTCTGGGTGGGTTTGAACCGCCAACCTTTTCGCTATAATAAGCATTTACATCTAGTAGGACAAATTTTCTCACTTCAGTCTTTATCCTTGGGAATATTTAGGATATTGGCTCTGTGCTCTTCCAATAAATTTTAGTAAGTTTGCTACAATACGAATCAACACAATTGGACCAATAAGCAACATCATGATAAATGGAGAAAAGACTGACGTTGCCAAGGTTTTCATTTTACTTGGATCCATAATCAATGCCCACGGAAGCAGCAATCAGGAAATCAAATGACGTAGCGCATTGGGCAAACTTGCTGCAAAAGACCTCTTTAAAGTGTTAAAAAGCAAAGATGTCTCTATGAGGACTAAGGTGCACCTGACCCAAGCCATGACATTTTCAATTGCCTCATATGCATGGGAAAGCTGGTCAATGAATGTTGTTGCTGTTGTTGGGTGCCGTCAAGTCGGTTCCGACTCATAGCGACCCTATGCACCACAGAAGGAAACACTGCCCAGTCCTGCACCATGCTTACAATTGTTGTTATGCTTGAGCCCACTGTTGCAACTACTGTGTCAATCCATCTTCTTGAGGGTCTTCTTCTTTTTCGCTGACCCTCTACTTTACAAGCATGATGTCCTTCTCCAGGGACTGATACCTTCTGGCAACATGTCCATAGTATGTAAGACGTAGTCTTGCCATCCTTGCTTCTAAGGAGCATTCTGGTTGTACTTCTTTCAAGACAGATTTGTTCGTTCTTTTAGCAGCCCATGGTATATTCAATATTCTTCGCCAACACCACAATTCAAAGGCGTCAATTCTTCTTCGATCTTCCTTATTCATTGTCCAGCTTTCGCATGCATATGATGCGACTGAAAATACCATGGCTTGGGACAGGCGCACCTTAGTCTTCAAGGTGATATTTCCTTTTCAACACTTTAAAGAGGTTTTTGCAGCAGATTTTCCCAATGCAATGCTTCTTTTGATTTCCTGACTGCTGCTTCCATGGGTGTTTTTGGATCCAAGTAAAATGAAATCCTTGACAACTTCAATCTTTTGTCCGTTTATCATGATGTTGCTTATTGGTCGAGTTGTGAGGATTTTTGTTTTCTTATATTGAGGTGTAATCCATACTGAAGACTGTGGTCTTTGATCTTCGTCAGTAAGTACTTCAAGTCCTCCTCACTTTCAGCAAGCAAGGTTGTGTCATCTGCATAACACAGGCTGTTAATGAGTCTTCCTCCAATCCTGATGCCCTGTTCTTCTTCATATAGTCCAGCTTCCCAGATTATTTGCTCAGTATACAGACTGAATAGGTATGGTGAAAGAATGCAACCCTGATGCACACCTTTCCTGACTTTAAACCATGCAGTACCTTGTTCTGTCTGAACAACTGCCTCTTGATCTATGTTCAGGTTCCTCATGAGCACAATCAAGTGTTCCAGAATTCCCATTCTTTGAAATGTTATCTATAATTTGTTATGATCCACACAATCGAATGCCTTTGCATAGTCAATAAAACACAGGTAAACATCTTTCTGGTATTATCTGCTCTCAGCTAGGATCCATCTGACATCAGCTATGATATCCCTGGTTCCACGACCTCTTCTGAATCCGGCCTGAATTTCTGGCAGTTCCCTGTTGACATAGTGCTGTAACCGCTTTTGAATAATCTTCAGCAAAATTTTACTTGCGTGTGATATTAATAATATTGTATGACATTTCCACATTCTGTTGGATTGCCTTTCTTGGGAATAGGCATAAATATGGATCTCTTCCAGTCAGTTGGTCAGGTAGCTGTCTTCCAAATTTCTTGGCATAGACGAGTGAGCACTTCCAGTGCTGCTTCCATTT